AATAAGCAATCCTGAAAAATATTTGGGGGTGCTTAACTTTTTTCCAGGTGTATATTTTGGATAGATCCAGCAAGCTGGGGCAACACAACCACAGAAATTAAAGATTTGATTTTACTTGCAGAGCATTTTTATGATCCAAAAAATGAACAAATTTGATGAAATTAAGATAAGCTCAGAACGAAGAAAATTCAAGAGAATTATTAAATACTACATGAATAGAGTCAAAATTAAGGGTTTCTGAGAGAGTGTTCTTCTATACAAAAGGAAGGAATTTAAGAGTTTGTAGGCTGGTGGAAATAGTGTTGAGCATAGGACCTAGTAACAGTGTCGTTGAGTCAAGGTTTAGTCACTTTACCCACATATTCATTGACCAGAGGCTTAATTTTAAACACGTAACAGTGGAGAACCTTCTAATGATTATAACTTTAAAACAAATCCTTCTGACGTGTTTATAGATTGTGCAGCCAACAAATGGAAGTCAGAGATGTACAATGAAATTGATTCTGTTGGTGGTGAAGATTTAAGTGATTATGGAGATCATGATGAGGATGATTCTGATTCTAGCATGTCTAGTAGATCAAGTGATGAAGCTGAAACAGGAGATATTCTTTTTGAAAAACTGGTTAACCCTTTCAGCACGAGCTGATGCATTTTGCATCAGCTCAACTAGGGAAGGACATTTATGCAAAACAAATGACAACTGAGCATTCCTCATAGAACCTCATAATATTTTGTTAAAGTTTATAAGAATTTTGTACACTGTGAATAGTTTGAGATTTTCATTTTAAGTATAGAAATACTTTTCTTCATCTCGTAGTTTTCATGTTTCATTTCCATAACCTCTAGAATCTCCTAAATGAATATCAAACGTTTTTGTTAGGTAAACATTTATATTTTCTTTCTTTTTCAATATCATACCACAACTAGCTATTATCATCCACGTGTTATGAAATGATTAAAATTAGGAAATAGAAAAAAAGTAAATACCTTTTAATTTTTTGTTGAATATCTTTAAAGATATTGTTTAGGTTATATTGGTAATTTCAGGATTTTTCACATATAGTTAATTTTTTATGTTTTATTTTCCTTTCTTGTCCATAACCACTTAATCTTCATCTTACCACAAGTCGCCCTCAAGGCATATTACAGTGTCTCTGGCAGAGACGCGGAGCCCTTCAGCAAAATCTTCATGCACCGCGTAGTATTGTAAGCCTTGAGAACTGATGCAAAGTATGGTGTATATTTAAAAAAATGTTTAAACCTTTTAATTATAAATTTTAAAACATAACTAATACATAATTAACTAAAATATAATAGTAGGACCTAAATACAATTTAAACTGTATCTCTAACTATTACAACTGTAGGTACTATAGTCAATCAAGCAGCCAACAATACTACAGTCAGTTACATATACTCCATCATGACAACTGGGCAGCCAATCCAAAATGACTGTTGTTAGATTAGTGTAAAAGGAGCTCTTTCTAATGACTATACACATTTCTATGTAATGTCTACATGTAGGCTACAAAGTTCAAACAAACTGTTGAAGGTGGGCATGGCACCTGTCAGGGTTAGAAAAAAATTACTTGTTTCAATTGCATTCATTCAGAGATCTTTGAAATGTACGAGTCAAAAGGTTATGTAAGCATCTTATTGTCTAGACATACATCTACACAACTACCATTGTATTACTGAAGATACAGAGTGCCAAAACAGAGAATTTTTGTAGCTCGTTGGTCACATGACAATACATCTGAAGTTATGTAGCTTTTAAAGGTTTCTTTTGAAATAAAGGGCTTAAAACTTAGATAACATAAAACTTTGAATCATAACATACATTATAATGTTAATTTAATTCACATAAATTGATAGAAAAGGTACTCGATTAAATTTTGAATGTAACATGGTGACTTGTGCAGAAAAGTGTTTAAAGGGGTTCCCATGTTTAAAGGGTTAACTCTTTCACTCTTTAAGGGATCGACTTTGTAAAAATTTTGTGCTTGTTACAGTTTGTGCTGTAACTTTTAATATTGTATATTCACAAAATTTTGCAGATTATCAGTAAACATTACAAGGCTTTTGTATACAAAATATGAGATATTTTTATTAAGTTTTAAGATTTTTTAAGTAATAATTTGCTCAAGCATTTTTTATTTTCAAATGTTCACTATCCAACATGCGAAGAAATTTTGATTTTAAGATTAAAAATACTTTTATGCATCAGAAAATTTTCGAATTTCACATGCGAAATCTTTATAATCTCCAGATTATTACCAAACATTTTTTTAAGAAAAAACATTATTTTTTCTGTTATTTTCACTATTGTATCTCTGTGGGTTTGGTCAATTTGACTGACCTTGTAACCACCATAAAAAAATTAGGAAACGGATATAAATTATGCATTTTCTTTCTAGAATGACTACAAATTATAAAACGAAACCACAAATGTTTAGTATGAATCGCTTAATCTCATAACATTATACATATATATTTATTTATTTATTTTTATTTTATTGACCTTTCAGTTGTGCCGGACTAACATTACAGAAGTTGAAAGATGCAGTGCACGTGCACTTATGTTACTGTATCCAATAATATAAAACTGGCCTTTGCAAAGTGACCTGTCTTGGCTGTGTCCTAGTGGACCAGTATTTTGTAAAATGCAGTCACATTTTGGTTATAATACATTATATAAGTATATACATTAATAGTATCTACAAATAAGTTCTTAAATTTAAATTATTTTTCTTAAAACATAGAATAGTAAATAAAGAAGTATAGCAAACAATTATCTCTTCTAGTTATGAAATTTGTACTTGTTTGCTGCTTGCCACAAGTTGCTAAGCCTTATCAAGTTTCACACATGGAGGATGTAAAAACAAAATAATTTTTTAGGTTTTATATATGCATTTTGAAATAACAAAAAATCATAAATCACAATATCAATACCACAGAATTCCACTAAAATTTACCAAACTTAGTAACTAATCTGTATTTGGGTTTAAAAATTATTTTTTAGCTCACTAATGTCTTACATTACCACTCGGAATCTAGCATCAAAAGAAAATTTCCCATGCAAATACTTCACAAAGGCTGAGAAAACCACCAGGAGGACATTCTGAGCTTTTGAATGGTTATGCACATGTCATTCGGTGAAGTAGGTGTACAGAAGCAAGAATTTTCAAATATAGAAGAGATGGGTGGAATGTAAAAACTAATTTGGATGAAATATGGCTTTTATCAAAGCCATGTTAATACAGGATTCCTATATAATGGTATAACAAAAATAAGCAACTGAGAAGTTTACAAAGTAGGAAGCTAATTTTGACAGAAATCTTTTAATTTTAAGTAAACAATATAATTAATGATAGATTACTTACGTTTTGCTTTAAACTTTTCAATAAAAACTATTTCTTATACTGTACTTAGCTTTTATATTGCAACTAATCTGCATACAGAGCTATCTGTACCAAAAGAGCAGAGGAAATGCTACGTATGAAACATTTTACAAACTATTTCTTATACTATAAACCAATTCATATTCCTTATTCAAGTCTGTCATGGAAATATCTAAAATCTGAGAAATAAAATATCTAGTGTAGTTATAAATTTACACCTGAAATTATTCCTAAATACAACAGTGTAATGAAAATATTGAAATGTACAAACTTCAAGATAAATTGGTATCCATCTAAAAGATAAATTTTAAACTTCTGATAGTTGAAACATTGTATTATAGTGATACGTAGTTTCATTGAAACAATACTGTCAATAAACTACATTTTCCTATCAATGAAATGTTTTAATTTAAACAATTACAAAATATTTCCATATACTCTGTAGAAGAAACAGATCTTTAAGACTGTTATCTGTGGAAGTTTGTGTTTCCAAGTAACCAAAGTACATTATGAATTACACTTACCATCGTGTGGAGCTACTGCTTCTCTTTTGGCAATAATGTTGGCACAAAGACTGAAGGCAGATGTTGTGAAGTAACGACCTGGTTCTGCAATAACATCAACCCCAACATCAAGTGGAAAATATTCTTCCAGAGCTTCATTCACCACACAGGCAATCTTAATTGTAAACAAATAAATAACACTTCAAGTATTATCTATGAAGGGAGAAGCTAAAAATGTTCACACCTAACACATTAATTGATAAATTAATGAAGCTTCATTCACCACACAGGCAATCTTAATTGTAAACAAATAAATAACACTTCAAGTATTATCTATGAAGGGAGAAGTTGAAAATGTTCACACCTAACACATTAAAATCTTAGTGGTCAGGCACGGAGAAGTAAAACTAAATCGCTAAGAAGGTATATATACTCAGTCATCATAGACACAATTCCAAGTTATTGTTAATTTATCATCTTAAGAAATAAAGATATTACAACAATAATCCAAAATACTTTGTTTCTAGAATGATTATGAAAAAATATTCAAATCAAATTTACCTCATCAAAATCAACGTTCTCTTCTGCAGACCCTGGAAAACCTCCTCCTATATCCAAAAGAGTCATGTTGAAGTTCATGCTGATAGCCCTGTCAAAAACTTGACGAGCACACTGTATGGCTTTGCCATACTTGGTTTTATCCATACAATTACTGCCAACATGGAAGCTATCATAAATGAATACAAGTACATTATATATCTGTTAACAACCTGGATATAGTAAAACTGTAACAAAAAGGGTACTTAAAGGTAAAAGCATCAAGTTGCAAGTAAAAACTAAAATATAAACTTGAGCAGGCTAGTCAATACAACATAGCAATAGAAAACATTTCACTGAATAGACAAATAAATCCAAAACAAATACATCAAAAAGACTTGGAGAGGATAAAAAGTTCAATTCTTAGCCAAATATCATAACATTCTTATTACAGCCAACCAGGCTCAATATTCTTATAACACCATACCAGCCAGCATCTCCAAACTGATCACAAAATACATAATTGTTGCCATCTTCCCACAGTCCCAAATTGTTGTGTACAATAATGATAATTTTTCCTGGATCCGTAAACATCTGTAAGAACTGTGTAGAAAACTTCTCAATATTGGTCAGTGAAACTGCATCTGTCTTTAGATTCTGTTGGTCAGTGAAACTGCATCTGTCTTCAGATGTTCTGATTCAATGTGAAATAAAGTTGGATAAACCTTAGCTTTGGAGGTAATACCTGAATCTGAGTCAAGATGGGTTTTATACTGTATAAAAATAGCAATTTCAAGAGCGAATTTACTCTAAAATGAGATTATGGCACCAAAGAAAAGACAAAAATTAGTGTGATGGTATTTAAGTAAAGTGGGTAAAGGCAACAAGTATACCATGACTGGTTGACAAAATGCAGTATTGGTGAATAACAAGCCTATTTATTGTAAACTTTGCAACAGACTTCAAAATTGGCAATGAAACATGCTCCAAGTACTCCTGTATAATCAGCAGGCCCAAAATTACACCCAATGAGCTTCCAATTTTTTTTTTTTACATGGCCAGATGACGATAGTATAAAATAATGTTTTATTTATTATTTGTTGTTTTTTATATATTGTATAATTATTCACGAAAAAAAAAAAAGTTAAAAATTAATAAAAACAGCAGAAAGGAATAAATTGTACTTTAAAATAATTACTGGTATCATCATTACACTGCATCTTTTGAAGATAAGTCTTGAAGATGACCAAGCTAACATTTATGAATTAAAACAAAGACCTCTATGAAAGCTATGATCATATGGCAATGTTTTCAGAACATTAACTACTTGTCTGTTTTAACTTTATTAATGTCAATATTGTTTTATGGGCCTAATTTATATGTATATGTCTTCTGTTTTATTAGTTTTTACACTACTGACAGTCCACTTAGCAGCACACACAAAAATGCAACAACAAATCCTCCATGGCTATTTCCGAATGTTAGCAGGTTTGTATCATCAGCAAATTCTACTAATTTCTTGACTATGTTCCTGTCAATGTCGTAAATATGGATAAGGAATAGCAGGGGTCTCACCACAAATCCCTGAAGCACATAACTTTAGTTCAGTTAAATTGAACTCCATTAATAACTTTTACTCTCACACTCAGATAACCTTCAATCAATTTAACTCATTTACTCCTTTCTCTGAGTAATTATTTTTACCAATTGTTTTTGTGGCAGCTTAACAAAAGCTTTCTCAAAATCGAAGTAAACCAAATCCACTTTTTTACATAATCCAGGTAAGAAATAGCATCTTCAAAAAAAAAAGTTAATAAGGTAATGAGAGACAATTTTGTCTTTGTAAAGCCCTGTTGGCTTGTCTAACAAAATATTGAACTCAATCAAATAATCCTTCAAACCAATATTCATCAGATTCTCTGAACTGCCCTGTAATTCTTATAATGCTTATATCCCCCTTAAAAATTGGAGTAATATTTACCAATATGAGTGCACTTGTCCTGTTTAATAACCAGCCAGAAATGAAAGCAAAGAGCTCAGAAATCTGGTCCTAAACTTACCTGAAAATTCTAAAGCATTACAAGGTCCAGGAGCCATATCTATTTAGAAACTCTCAAGTTTTGTTTCTTTAAACAAGTTCTGAAACAACATGTGTATCATAAGCTTTCAAAACATTTCTTTCTAACAAATTCTCAGGGTCGGGAATTAAGTCAAACTCTTCCATGGTGTAAACTAATAAGAAGACATTTAGATACTTATTCTCACAGTCTTCAACAAAACTACCTTCATACTCTCCAAGTACAATTCCCATTCTCACATTCTGCTTAACTTCAATAAATCTAAAGAAATCATCTTACTATAATAGATATAGCATGTATGTATGTCTCTATGTATGTGACTGAAATAGTAATTACAATGTACAGCCATCTACTGAATAGCACCACAAAAACAATTCATGAAAAACTTCACACTTCAGACAATTATTAAAATAACTGTGGTATGTGTAACAACCATTTCTCAATAACAGAACACAATTTTAAATAAAAGTACTTTCCTTACAACAAGAACACACTTTCACTAGGAATGTACGTGAGGATTTGGTTATATCTTTATTGATGTAACTTGTAAATATAGTACTAAAAAATAGTTTTAAAAAAACGTATTTTTTTAATAAAGGGTACCACTTTTAATACATAAAAACATTACAGCTTATATGAGCACAATCCTAACACTTTTGCCATGCTGTACTACCAAAGAAAAATCCTTTTTTAGAAAATGCTCACTTTTAATTTTTTTTTTTTTTTTTTTT